TGGCATACTTGCACAGGAGGCGCCTCACATTCGTCTCCACCGTGATCAGAAATTGGTGGAGGACCTCACATAGAAGCTTTTCCCACCGGCGCAGGCGGCGCCGGCACGCGCGACCCGCAGGATAAAGTTACCACCGGCGCAGGCGGCGCCGGCACGCGCGGCATGGAGTGGGCTGAGCCCACAACAGAGCGCAAGGAGTTAGCACCATCATCCGCATTGCAGCGCCGAGCGATAGAGGACGTTGCGGAGCTCAATCACCCACTCCTGTCCACTCACGAACATGCTAATTTCCACATGCGAGCTCCCCATCGTTCCACTCGATGGCCCCGTGTCACTGCCAAATCCGCCGCTGGCCTCGCTGCCAGACATTTGACATGACGGAGGGGACGAGAGCGAGACGTGAGGAGACTGGCAGTGGTGTCTGAACTATTCGAGAGGGTTGACCGGCAGCCTAGAATTCGTCCGGGTGAGGTATATGTGGGGACGCGGTGGGCCAGGATGGGTCAGTCCGACGCGGCAGGCATGTGCAGGTCTCCTCATATCCACCTATATATATAGGCTGAATATGGGGGTGCCCGTCAGTCCGGATATATAGGGCCAGTATATTGAGCCCGACTAAGTCACTATTTTATGACCGGTCAATGATCGGCCATTTGCCCCGATTATAGGTGCCACTTGAGTGTAGATGCTCTTAATTACCTGGTATTCTACTACTCCCTCCATTTCACAATGTAGTGCTTCCTCTATCCACGTGCTTCAACTTTGACCGTAAATTTAACTACCAAGACCGATTGCGGCGGGAGCAAAAATTATATTAGTGAATTCGTATTCGAAAGAAGTTTTCAATTATATAATTTTTTCTCCCGCCACAGTTGGTCTCGTTGGTTAAATTTACGGTCAAAGTTGGACCTCGGGAAGCGCGGGCACATTATATTTTGGAATGGAGGGAGTACTACTCCCTCCGTTCCAAAATATAGCGCGCCCACGCTTTTCGAGGTTCAACTTTGACCATAAATTTAACCCACGAGACCGACTGCGGCGGGATCAAAAATTATATAATTAAAAACCTTTTTTGAATATGAATTCATTGGTATAATTTTTTCGCCCGCCGCAGTCGGTCTTGTTGATTAAATTAATGGTCAAAGTTGAAGCACGGAAACCGAGGACGCGCTATATTTTGGAACGGAGGAAGTATTATTTACTTCAAAGTAGTCCCGTGTACAATATTTCTTAATTCCGGGTGGTTAATATTTGATGTAATGTAATGATAATCATTCGTAACAAGTTAGCTGCATTCGTATTTTAGAGTATATATTCACTTATTTTGCTTCGTATGCAATCTATATTTAAATCTTTAAAATACGTCTATATACATTCATATGTAGTCCCTAATAAAATCATAAGTACTCCCTCCGTTTCATATATAAGTCATTTTAGAGATTTTAATATAAACTACGTACAGATGTATATAGATGTATTTAAAGTGTAGACTCACTCATTTTACTCCCGTATGTAGTTTATATGGAAATCTTTTAAAAAGTGTATATTTAAAGGGTGTTCCTACACGTTGGTCGTCGGATCTTTTAAAAGATCTGCCGCCTCGCGAGCTGTCGGATCTAGTGGATCGAGCGACCGAGCGTGACCTTTTATTATTGCAACAGGTCGTATCGCATGAAATTTCTGCAACACCAACACGGGTCATGTTGCAGAATATTTGCAAGATATTTCTTTTGCAACAGAGATCTTATTGTAGTTTTTTTTGCAACAGGGGTCTTGTTGCAATTTAGTTTTTTTTGCAATAGAGGTCTCATTGCAAATTTAGTTTTTCTGCAACAGAGGTCTTGTTGCAATTTTTGCAACACAGACCTTATTGCAGAAACTCATCATACTGGATAGGGAGCAACGAGCAACGACGACGTTTATCGAAAGAAAGAAAAGAAGGAACCACTCCGACAGGACACACGTCGTATGGACGAGCCGGCGGATGCTCGCGTGCAGCCCGCTGGTTGAAGCCAGGCGTTTTTTTAATTGACCACCTTTATTAGTTAGAAATAATGGTTACATCATCTATTAGAGGTTGTACAATTTCGACCAAAGGCTCCTCAAACCGTCCCCTTGTCTCAGAAAATCTAGCTAACTTGGCAAGTTCATGAGCTACCTTGTTTGCTTCCCTGTTACAATACTCAAAACTAGTGAGATGGAAATCACAGGCTAAAAAATAACAGTCATCAAAAACTGATGTCGCTGCTCCTGCTGAACGTCCTCCATTCTTCATGGTATCAATGACTTTCATATTGTCAGAACTAATGACAAGGCGATTGCAACCCGCCTTATGTGCGAGAGATAGTCCGAATGTTAGAGCCAAAGCTTCTCCCATCGAGACATCAGCACACCAATCAATCTTCCATTTTCCGCCAACAATGAATTTTCATTTATCATCTCTGAGAGCAGCACGAGATGTGCGTGTAAGAAGGTCATGCTCAAAAGATGCATCCACATTAAGCTTCATAAAATCCATTGGAGGTCTAGTCCATCCTCCTCTTTTACTTATTGCATTAGGTAAGAAAGCGTTAACAAAGTTTGCCGCTATAGCACGAATTTCCATAGAAGTTTGTTCAGCATCTTGAAACTTTCCTTCATGGACTAGCTTGCGTCAATCCCACCATAAGTACCAAGCGGTAATAGCGATTAGTTCGCGGGTGTTTTGGAAGCCTAATAAAACTAATTCATATTCTAGCATAAGAAGTAAAAAATCAAGAACTGCCTCTCTTGCACGATCAATAACACAAGCTTTGTTAATCACCTCATCCAACCCCAACTTATGCCAAACCTCCTTAGCTTTCTGACAAAGAAACAACATATGCTTTGTATCCTCTGGCGCTTTAGAACAGGATGGGAAGATGCGCATGACTTTCAGTTGTCTGTTCGCAAGCGTAGCCCGACAAGGTTGAGTGCCATGCAATGTGCGCCACATGGAAATTTTGACCTTTGTTGGACAAGATAATTTCCAAATCTTACCCTAAATAGGATTAACATTGATTCTTCCCACACCATTAGTAAATTAAAGTTTGGGTGAATAGCTCATGTCCGACGTTTTTAATGTGAATTGGAAAGGACACAACGTAGTTGATGATAATAGCTCGGGTACAATGTTTTACATGGCAATAATAGTCGGCACGCAACACGGGCCTTAAGCACAAGACATATCGTTATCCATTTGGATTATGGGAGTCAGCGGGACCCACAAATTATCCATGTTAGCGATGGAATGGTCAACTTGTCCACTAACTGCGGGACCCACAACTTATGCACGTCGGCGCTGGAACCACAACTTACCCACTGACCGCGGGACCCACTACATATCACATGAGCCTGAGTCATCGCCGTGCCCATGCTAGCCCATCGTCCCCATTCCCTTTAGTTCCCTTGCCCCCGCCGCCCCCCATTCTCCTTCTCCGGCGACGAAGCATGCCAACGCCGGTGGCTGACGAGAGACAAGAGATGTCGATGTCCAGTTCGGCATCTCGCCCCTCATGGCCGCGGTATGGTCTAGTGCCGATGACCAGGTGCCCGGACTGCCCACGCATCACGCCATTGAAGCGTTTGACAACCAAGTTGGGGGACAATGGAAACTATGGGCACGAATTTGTGAAATGCGGGAGCAAACCAGAGGCGGCCAAGGTTTGATCTATGTTCTCCCGCAACCTTTTTATTTGATTTCTGCCCCCAGATTTGTTGTTTTTCCTCAGATTCAGGGTTTATAGTTTTGCTTCCATTTCCAGAATCTGAAGAAATGCAAGCATTTTGAGTGGCTGGATGAATACATTGAGAGGTTTCAACTGGAGGGCTCAACTAATTTGAGGCAGGGCGCAACCCAAGAGCTTGATCTGCCGTCGGCAGTGGAGAAATTTGGCTCAGACAGTGTCGCTCCGACGATGGGGGATGCAGAACTGAAGGTGGAATTGAAGAAGGTGAACAATAACCTAAGGCAGTTGCTCAATCTAAAGAAGCAGGCAAATCTACTGGCTGTAGGATTTTATTTATGTATAATTTCTTTGGGATTTGTTTACTTGCTGATCATTAGTCATTACAAACTATTATTAGTGTTTGAGTTAGCTTGTATGTACGCAATGTCATGTAAGCTTAACTCCAAGGATAATTTCCTCTCTGGCTTTCCCTAATGAATCAAAGGAGGCAGCAATTCGAATGAATTTCTCTCTGCAGCTTCAGTTTGACAGAGTGCAGAATAGAGTGCAAGCAGAGTTCTTCGGGTTTTTTAAGAATCATTTATGTGGTTGTTGGGCCGTGATGTGGAGATTAGTGTGAGAAAGGCCCGGAGAGAAACTAAGCCTACAATTAGAATGGATGTGATTCGTCGAGAAAAACACAAGATATTAGGCCCAAAGTAAAATACAAGCCCACATATTTTGGGTCCAAAGTAAAAACAAGCCCACATACTAAACAACTTCTGCTCTAAAAAAACTAAACAGCTTCTGCACCCGTTTTTCTGCGACAAAAAAATATTGCAAAATATTTTCTTTTTCTTTGTGGCTGCATGAACTAGGTGACTCCATATGTTGATTCTTTGTGGCTTCTGTAAATACAGTGTATTGTTTGCAAAAAAAAGTTTCAAATATAGAGTATTGTTTGCAAAAAAATTCATTAAAAAGAAATTTTTTATGGCTTTTGTAAAAAGAGAAAATTCATTGCTACAAAATGACTTTTCGCAAGTCATTTTTTGTCTTTTTACACAGTCCATAAAAATGTCCTTTTTCACGTTTTGAAATGCATTTAATTTTTTTATAATGGGTGTATCTAGACCTACAAGCCAAAACACCGTGTCCAAATAGTAGCACAATATTGCACGAACAAAGTGGGTAGCTCTACCAAAAAACAATAAACAACTAAAAAAAGTTCAAATATAGTAGCAAGAACTTAATAATAGAAAGACACATAATAAATATAGATAGTTCGGGCCAACCAAGCCCACAGCGCAAGACCTATAGTACGCTTACAACTTAAATAACAGACAAATATAGATAGATAGATTTAGCTAAAAGAAATAGATAGATAGATGGGTAGATCTAAACCCTAGTCGCCGCCTTCTCCACCTTGCTCCTCCTACCTCCTCCTCCACCTTGCTCCTCCATCGGGCGTCCTTCACTGCTCCTCCGAGGTGTTGTCGATGGGGTACGGCAGAGTGTGCATGCGCTCCATTGTGGGGAAGATGTTGATGTAGTCCGTGAATATGTTGTGGGTGGTGAAAGCGATGAACTCGCAGCCACACCAGAACACGCGGCCGAGACGGTAGAATGCGTCGAAGGGGTTGGTGAGGTGGGCAAGGATAGAAACCACAACCCCGTTCTGAATGACCTCCTCAACTCGGTACATCCTTGGAGATCCCTGGGGGAGGTAGCGGTAGCCGGCCCAAGGAAGAACTCGGTGAACTCCCTTGCACCCCTCCACCTTGACATCGCCCACACACGGAGGTTATTCTCGATGTACACCCCGGCGGGGTAGAGCATCTCCGGCATGGTGGGGGGCATGCGGTAGATTGGCCCGGTGTACTGCATGGCTGCGGCTGGCTGGTTCTTGGGGCTGTTTGTGGTGAAGAAGAAGCAGGGCGGATGCAAATGGGAGAGAATGGGAGATGGATGAAGGGTGTGAGAGGAAGAGGAAGATGATAGGTGGCATAAATAGCCGTAGTGCGGCGTGTTATTTCACCGTGGCAGTAATGGGGTCAATGTGAACGAGTTTCCCACCCACCGCAGCATTAGGGGTGTACACACGTGGAAAACCGTAGTCTGAATCAATAGCTATAATGTGACATTTCAGTGTTGCACTCTATGCCATCAGTCGGGTCAGGCGGGGATGGGTCTACGGTGCTTGCATGTTCGCGACTGTGCACGCATGCAACTTAGGCTGAAGTGGGCGCATGCATGCAACGTAGGCTGGCTCAGGGCAGCGAACAATGGTGGACATCACTCAATCCAACGGGTGGGCTTCTTTACCACAGCCCAACCACATGCACGCATGGCAGCCCACCCTCAAGCGCAGAACAAACCAAGCGGAAAAAATGAAACCAGACATTTTCAAATCCAGCCAATCACAATGCAGAACTACCATCATGCGGATCGCTGACATAGCACTGCATGTTGATCCACACCATTTGACGCAAAGTGATCCAACGGTCAAGAATGGTTGGGGGAGTTATTCAGCGTTCTTGAATACGGCCAATCGGAGCGCCTCATGTGGATCGCTGATGTTGCCCTAGCGCCTGATCCACATCGTCGACTCGCAGATATCCAGCGGCCTGGAAGGGTGTAGGGTTTTGATTAGGGTTTGAGGGGGTTTGAAGGGGTTATGAGGGATTTTCAGAGGGTTTTGATATATTTCAAGGGCTAGGGTTGACCATAACTAATTCAAAAAATCAGATAAATATGAAACTTGCACCCAACATCGTTTTCTCTTACTAGGTTGCTAGAAAAAATAAGAAACCTGATCTATGGGTATTTTCATGAAAAGCCCTTCACAAAACCTAGCTATCACAAACAAGGTTGCACGGGATTCAGGTTAGGGTTTAGCGTTAAGCATGTCATAGTTTATCGAAACGACCCAATATTGGGCATGGACCCTATATTTGCACACTCGAAGTCAACTTTCAATTTTTTGGCTCATTTAGAGAGGGTCGGAAAAAAACTTGCTTACAAATGGGGTGTTTATCCTAGCTTTGGAGCTCACTTGGAGCACATTTTCAAAACCAGTATTTCACTCAACAAAAAGTCCTCGGATTGATCACCTAACATGCATAATATTTGAGAAACCATTGTAACATCAATACCCATACTAAACAACATCAAATTTGAATTTTGGCTTAAATTTGAAATTCAGCTAGAATTTGAATTACTCATCAAAGTAAAAATAACATTACACAAATTCAGGAAAGTTTTTTTTACACAAATCTAGGCAAGTTTTTTTATTTAGACAAGAACAATATTTCACTTCTACTTCTTCTTACCACTCGATTTCTTCTTCTTCTTCTTGCCACTTGTTGATCCTATGACGGGTTGATACGTCCATTTTGCATCATGCTTTTACATCGATATTTATTGCATTATGGTCTGTTATTACACATTATGTCACAATACTTATGCCTATTCTCTCTTATTTTACAAGGTTTACATAAAGAAGGAGAATGCCGGCAGCTGGGATTCTAGGCTGGAAAAGGAGCAAACATTAGAGACATATTCTACACAGCTCCAAAAGTCCAGAAACTTCACGGAAGCTATTTTTAGAATATATAAAAATTACTGAGCGCAAGAAGTTCCAGAGGGGTCCACACCCTGGCCACGAGGGTGCGGGCGCACCCTACCCCCCTGGGCGCGCCCCCTGCCTCGTGGGCCCCCTGGTGGCCCACCGATGCCCATCTTCTGCTATATGGAGTCTTTAGTTGAGGAAAAAATCATAAGCAAGCTTCCGGGACGAGACTCCGCCGCCACGAGGCGGAACCTTGGGAGAACCAATATAGGGCTCCGGCGAAGCAGTTCTGCCGGGGAAACTTCCCTCCGGGAGGGGGAAATCATCACCATCATCATCACCAACGCTCCTCTCATCGGGAGGGGGTCAATCTCCATCAACATCTTCACCAACACCATCTCCCCTCAAACCCTAGTTCATCTCTTGTATCCAATTCTTGTCTCTAAGTCTGGAATTGGTACCTGTAGGTTGATAGTAGTTGATGCTAGTTGGTTTATTTGGTGGAAGATCATATGTTCAGATCCTATATGCATATTAATACCCCTCTGATTATGAACATGAATATGCTTTGTGAGTAGTTACGTTTGTTCCTAAGTACATGGGAGAAGTCTTGCTATTAGTGGTCATGTGAATTTGGTATTCGTTCGATATTTTGTTGAGATGTATGTTGTCTCTCCTCTAGTGGTGTTATGTGAACGTCGACTACATGACACTTCACCATTATTTGGGCCTAGAGGAAGGCATTGGGAAGTAATAAGGAGATGATGGGTTGCTAGAGTGACAGAAGCTTAAACCCTAGTTTATGCGTTGCTTCGTAAGGGGCTGATTTGGATCCATATGTTTCATGCTATGGTTAGGTTTACCTTAATACTTCTGTTGTAGTTGCGGATGCTTGCAATGGGGGTTAATCATAAGTGGGATGCTTGTCCAAGTAAGTACATCACCCAAGCACCGGTCCACCCACATATCAAATTATCAAAGTACCGAACTGAATCATATGAACGTGATGAAAACTAGCTTGACAATAATTCCCATGTGTCCTCGGGAGCGCTTTCTTCTATATAAGAGTTTGTCCAGGCTTGTCCTTTGCTACAAAAAGGATTGGGCCACCTTGCTGCACTTTATTTACTATTGTTACTTGTTGCTCGTTATAAATTATCTTATCACAAAACTATCTGTTATCTATAATTTCAGTGCTTGCAGAGAATACTTTGCTGAAAACCGCTTATCATTTCCTTCTGCTCCTCGTTGGGTTCAACACTCTTACTTATCGAAAGGACTACGATAGATCCCCTATACTTGTGGGTCATCAAGACTCTTTTTTGGCGATGTTACCGGTGAGTGAAGCGCCTTTGGTAGGTGGAATTTGGTAAGGAAAAATTTATATAGTGTGCTGAAATTTACTATAACTTGTTACTATGGAAAGTAATCCTCCGAGGGGCTTTTTTGGGGTATCTTCACCCCGACCAGTAGAGAAAAGAGTTGCTCCTCAACCTACAGAACCTACTGAAAATGAAAATGTCTACTTTGAAATTCCTTCGGGTATGATAGAAAAACTGCTAGCTAATCCTTTTGCAGGAGATGGAACATTACATCCTGATGAGCACCTAATATATGTGGATGAAGTTTGTGAATTATTTAAGCTTGCAGGTATGCCCGATGATGTTATCAAGAACAAGGTCTTCCCTTTATCTTTGAAGGGAGATGCATTGACATCGTATAGGCTATGTGATGATATGGGATCATGGAACTACAAACGATTGAAATTGGAATTTCATCACAAGTTTTATCTTATGCATCTTGTTCATCGTGATCGTAATTTTATATATAATTTTTGGCCTCGCGAAGGAGAAAGCATCGCTCAAGCTTGGGGAGGCTTAAATCAATGTTATATTCATGCCCCAATCATGAGCTCTCAAGAGAAATGATTATTCAAAAAATTTATGCTCGGCTTTCTGACAACAATCGCACCATGCTCAATACTTCTTGTGCTGGCTCTTTTATGATGAAGACTATTAAAGTCAAATGGGATTTATTGGAAAGAATTAAACGCAACTCTGAAGATTGGGATCTCGACGAAGGTAAGGAGTCAGGTATGACACCTAAGTTTGATTGTGTTAAATCTTTTATGGGTACCGATGTTTTCTGTAAATTTAGCAGTAAATATGGACTTGACTCTGAGATAGTAGCTTATTTCTGTGAATCTTTTGCTACTCATGTTGATCTTCCTAAGGAGAAGTGGTTTAAATATCATCCCCCCATAGAAGTAAAAGTAGATGCACCTATCAAAGTTGAAGGAAATACTATCACTTATAATGATCCTATTATTCCTACTCCTTATGTTGAGAAACCACCTTTTCCTGTTAGGATAAAAGATCATGCTAAAGCTTCAACTGTGGTTCGCAAAAGCAATATTAGAACCTATACACCTCCTGAGAAAGTTAAAGTTGAACCTAATACTGCTATTGTTAAGGATCTCTTGGCTGATAATATTGATGGGCATGTTATTTATTTCTGTGATGAAACTGCTAGAATTGCTAAACCTTGTGCTAAAGATAAACATAGACCTGTGGTAGGCATGCCTGTTATTTCTGTTAAAATAGGAAATCATTGTTATCATGGCTTGTGTGATATGGGTGCTAGTGCTAGTGCAATATCTATTGACTTATACAAAGAAATTATGCATGATATTGCACCTGTTGAGTTAGAAGATATTGATGTCACAATTAAACTTGCCAATAGAGATACTATTTCACCAATTGGGATTGTTAGAGATGTTGAAGTCTTGTGTGGGAAAACTAAATATCCTGATGATTTTCTTGTTCTTGGTTCCCCACAAGATAGCTTTTGTCCCATTATATTTGGTACACCCTTCTTAAACACCGTGAATGCTAGGATATACTGCGAAAAGGATGTTGTTACTATTGGTTTAGGTGATATGTCTCATGAGTTCAACTTTTCTAAATTTCGTAGACAACACCGTGAAGAGGAATTGCCTAGTAAAGATGAAATTATTGGTATTGCTTCTACTGCCGTACCTCCTAGTGATCCTTTAGAACAATATTTGCTAGACCATGAAAATGATATGTTTATGAATGAAAGAAGGGAAATAGATGAAGTGTTCTTTAAACAGG